AAGTAGTGTTAAGCCCGGCGAGCGACGGGGATTACTCATTTCTACAATGACGGCTAATTAATGGCTTTTCTGTGCAAGTTCTTCTTAGGAACAACTTCACTTCGGTTGTGATATGAGAAGGTGCCCCGTCTAGCATGAATATCACTGTGTTAAGTATATTATGTTTCAGGAAGTGTGGTATCATTGTTACTGCAGCAGTTTCAAATAGCATTTTCCAGTAATTGAGCAGTTCTTTCGGCCAGCATTTGCACAGCGCTAATTACAAAATAATGGACTCAGTGAAACCACACCAAACAGTTAAACGCGGTGAATGTAGGAGCTCCTCAGTATAAGTACGTGGGTTATCCTTTGCCCAGATTGTATAGTTGTGAGTGTTGACTGTTCCACGCAATGAAAAATGACTCTTATCTGCCCACAAGATATTGAGGAGCCATCTTCATCGATTTTCGACAAAGCCCGGTTTAAGAATTCATATCGCTTTGTCATTTGATAAGAGCTGGTGAACTGATTGCAACATATAGGGGGACAATTTCAACACTGTGAACAATGCGAAATACCGATGTCTTCGGTATACCAGTGTTCCGTGTCACTTCTCCTGTGTTACTTGCTGCACTACTACTTACTGCGTTGATTATTCACTTAGAGTGTCAAACTGCGAAGCCACATCGGAAGTACGGACTTCTGATAAACTTGGTGCACCACTGCGAACGAAACGTCGTACCTGGGCAGTCCGGCAAGAGTCGACTGGATCTGAACCTTTCTTCCATCCCTTCTATGTAACAAACCTTCGTAAAGCTTCAGTCGGTGATTCTTGACTGAAGTTAAACAACAACACTAATAAAGCTTGTTCTACTAATGTGAGCGTGACAATTAAAATTTTATATACGAGCAAGCAGGAGGAAAAATCAGATATGAGCTGCTAATCGTAAAACCTACAATTTACAGTTTGACTTACTCTGATTTACATATTTCCCGTTACTGCGTCTGTCCGGCGCCCTCTATCGACGAGAATTTCGACTAAAAAGAATTCCCATTCACGAGAGTAGCGTTTTCGCATACCGTGTTCGTGTGTCAAGGTTTCCATAAACCGTTTTAAAACATTATCAAAATTGTTTTAAACACACTAACATTTGACGAAATTATAAAACAGATAAAGAAAATGCAACATATCGAACTAAAAGGAATAGTAAAAAATCTGAAGTTTGGGTTGATATTAACCCAAACATTCGAACTGCAGTACTGATGACAAAGCTCATTGCTTGCCCGTTAAGGTAGAAGCATAGGAGAAAATTAAGAATTAGGTTATCACATCAATCAGATATTACCCAGAAATGTTATGAAAATGAACAGTTTTTAAGCTGATAGTAATTCAATGTAAAGTATCTTTTTAGTATTCATTTTTGATTAAAATTTTGTGAAAATATTCATGATTCCGTTAAATAGTCATTACATTATTTAAATTTCATTCATCATTTTCAGGGGTACGTTTTCTGGTCTCTAAATGGTATTATTCCCTGATATTATTTTTAAAACAGCCATGGACAGTTGTGATAATATTAAGCAGCGCCTACTGCATTACAAGGCACAGCATTTAGTGCATTATTTTATACTGAATTGAATCTAAAAATTCTCAAAATGCTATCATATATAAAGGGAAATCAAGGACTTTCTGTTTGATGTCTGTAAGACACAATGTACTTCAAAGAAACTATCTTACGTACTAGGTACTTACTTGTTTGGTACAGTGCGCAAAAAGGAAAAAAGAGACAGTTCTATATCTCCCATTCTACTGAGCCTGTAGGCGAAATTAAAATTGCGTTTTTATGTCTCGAAAGCGCGACATAGGATATATATTAGATTTATATATAACATTGCTCTAATATAGGTATTTTGATACAAAATCAGACTTGTTCTGAAATGACAAGCCAGTTTTTTCCATATTTCGTTTCTCCGACTAAAATTATGCCTAAATATTAAATTTTGTTAACTTATTTGCGATTCGAATATAAATTTTAAAAATACATAATAAAAAAATGGGTGAGTTTTATTTGGAATGAACCTAAATTTTGAAATGTGAAAGGAAAAATCAAAAAAGCTTAATAAAACAAGAGATACTAATTCAGAAGTCAAACAACAAAAATCAGCGTTATAATTTCAAATATAACGCTGATAATTTATATTTTCAAATATAACGCTGAAAAATTTGAAAATATAACGCTGATTTTTGTTGTTTGACTTCTGAATTAGTATTTGTTCGGCGTGTTATTGTGTCTTAAAACAAGAGATATTATTAAATATATACCAAATTCAATTAACATGGGGGAGCTAAAATTTTGAAAGCTAATTTTTTAAAACTACTCGTGTGATTTTTACAAATTTTGGCAGCCTCGCATAATTTGAGTCGTAGAATCGAAAAATGGAAAAAAATTGGCATGTCATTTCAGAAGAAGTTCGATTTTGTGTCGAAGTACCTATATTATAACAATGCTATATATAAATCTAATACATATCATATACATATTATATGTATATATATTATATAAAATATGTCTATATATTAATAAATATATTATATATATATATATATATATATATATATATGTGTATTATACAAATATGTATTATAGATTATAGAAATAAAAGGTAAAAAAGGCATTGAACACCGAATGAGCCTAAGAGAGTCGCGCTTTCGAGACCTGAAAAACGCAAGTTGAATTTCGACAATCAGCCCAGTAGGACGAGAGGTATAGAACTGTCCCCCCCTTTTTTTCGCAGTGTACATTCTAGGTTAAAAATGCTCTTTTTTCTAAATGTTAATCATTGGCATTGTAAAAATAGGACGCATACAGTTCTGTTTATATCACTTGAATTGACGTTCTTTAAGAAAATTTCCAGAGGATCTATGACAAAATAAATTTGACATTTAAACGTCTGAACTGTAGATACGGGATAGCGGATTTAAAGGTGCGGAACTCCTGCCTATGCTAATAACGTGGGTGCGCATTGCTTTCTGCGATAAGATTATCTGTTTTCCATTTGTTACCAATATACTTCTCCTTAACTGCTCGTCATGACTTAATGTTTTGAATAGATAAATCTAGCTGGTTCACTGATTTATGGTCTCCAGGAGAAGAAAGAATTGCACACTGCATTCTTTCTTCTCCTGGAGACCAGAAATCAGTGAACCAGCACATTAGTCCTCTTTTGAAGGAATGTTTTAACAAAATGCTAAACATATGTTACCGTGAAAGACCGAAATTGGAGAATGTCGACTTTCACCGGAGAATGTTAACATTCACCAAATACGTTGGTGAAAGATCGAATATTGCACTACATTCTTGTATATTCGGACCCTCACCTGTGTATGTCGACAATCACAGATATGCTCTGGTGTAAGTCGAAAAGATAGGTCACAAACTGCCATAATAGTTTAAGTTGTTGCAATAAATAAGATTTGAATCACATAATTTAGTAAGTTTTTTTATTACTGTTATTTATTTTCTCATTTAGAACGTACTGTATAATTAAGTAAGTTTCTAACTTCTTTATTTTCCTTTCTCTTTGAATGTATTGTGTTTTTAGGTTCTCATGTTCTTAAGTTCTTATTTCAGTCTCAAGTGCGTTATTCGCGACTGAATTACGGAGAAGAAAATAATATGTTATATGTTCAACATTCACCATTAGTACATGGTGAATGTCGATATTCACCGGTGTAAGTCAGAAATAAGAGTATTTGGAAAATATTTCGGACATACACCAAGAGAATATGTGAATGTTGACATTCACCGGTGAAAGTCGACATTCTCCAGATTTCGGTGTTTCATCGTAACATATACACATATTACAAGTTGCACTCACAATTATGAGTGCTATGAAAAATTAATAACTTACTAATTGCAATGCTTGATCACGATTTTTATATCGACTTCTAAGTAGCATAATTAAAATAATATTCTTCTTCTTAAAATAATATTAGTTTGAAACCGGCTGTTAAGATTAATTTTCAATATTTATTTAAGCAATTTATCGATATTTATAGTTAGCTTATTTAGGCAGAGAACCTATTAAATCTATTGAACGTGACATCTGAGGTTTCTCCAGAATACATTACACGTGACTTTCGAGACTGCAGCTTTATCGAACAAAAACATTTCGATATCCTATACACTATATTTGAAAAATAATATCTGAAAATGGTTCTCTATTTCAATATTTGTAAAACCTCTAACGGTCATAGTTATTGCATTACTATTAGCTACGCTAACAGGTATGTTTTATGTACATCACTAAAATATTCTGTTCGCATTAGTAAACAAGCGTGCTTTGAATGTAGTTTGTTTAACACGTCCTGGTTGAGATGTCAAATAGGTTGATTGCGAATAAATAAGTAGAAATTTTTTGTTACCTGGGCTAAGCATAGAATAAGTATCCTGAGTTGTACTATGTATAACAATCAGAAGTAAACTTGGGAATATTTCCAACAATCAAGAAATTGCAATGAAAATGTGTCGAGATAATTAGCCATATTTTGTTTCAGTTTTACGGGCTAGAAACACTTTTGCTTTCAATACAAACATTTCAACAAGCAGAGTGATTTTAAACGCGAAAATAAGAAAGAAGGAAAATACTAATATAGTAAACTGGGATTCTTATCTTAATAACAAAAATTACATTTTGTACTCTCTACCTGGAGGTTTACTATCAAGTGTTCAAATACGTTAAAAGTAAAATGTTAAGAAAATAAAAGCTTGTAATAACTGCATCAGACTTTTACTCATCTTTGGCGTTCGTATGATGGGTTGGATTACCAAGCCTTATTTCTTTCGAAATTAATATTGCTAGATTAACATTTCACTCGGCACCCGGTATCTATGAGATATATACTGCTAGACAGTTTCTAAGGTCGGATGTCAAATTTCATTGTAGCATAACATTAAACTCGAATGGAGACTAAGCACATTAAAATTTTGTTGCCACTTTGTTAGGACATTAGACTAAAGGATATTTATTTTTCAGGAAGCTAAAGAAAGGTTTTAAATATTCAAACATAGAAAGGTGTTCTTTTGATATTGTGCAAGGAGAAATGGAAAAGTGCGTATGAACTACAGAAGGAACTTTTCAAAAAGGTGTTAGTACGGGACATGTCTTTCTAGAGTGCGATGTTCCTTTCTTCGCGTCGGGATATGCTTTGCAGGGCATTATCAGACAACTGTTGAGGTAAATGATCCCACTCCCCTGTCAATGCACAGATGAGGATGTTCTTCGTTGGAGGATATTTTCGACCAGCTAGTTACCTTGCCAGAGCATCCAAAAAATTTTCAGTTGGGTTTAGATCTGAAGAACGCGCTGGCCATATGAGGAGCTGAATATTCTCTTTTTTAAAAAAAATCATGAACACTGGGTACTAGATGGCATAGTGCGGTTGTCGTCCATCGAAAGAAATACATTACCGAAAGTACTATGGAAAATGCGAACACGAGGCAGCAGCATTTCATCAGTGTATCGTCAACCAGTTATAGCTCAACCAGCTCTTGCAACCACATGCAAGAGCGTGCGGCCATTGGTCCTGCAGCAGACTCATGTAATGACGATATGAATATTTTTCTTCATGATAAGCAGTACCACTATGACGCCAGATCATTTGGCATCTACAATCTGATGATAAACTCAATCTAGTTCCGTCTGAGAATAGTATGCAAACCTAGTACTTATTAATCCATTTGCAATGCTCACGATATCATTGGAACGGGCGGTACGGTGCTGTCTGGACAATGGAACACACACAACAATTTTACGGGTGCATACTCCGTCTTTTACCTAACTTCTGGTTGCAGTGTTTTGGGAAACTATGTCAGTAAGAAACTCATTCGCCACCTTCTGAGCTGTGGAGAGCCGGTTTCGTTTGGCCGATACAGCAATATGCTGTCTCCTGCGATAGTCGTACATCTAACACCACCTCCCCATGAGACTGGTACACATTCCAGTTGTTTCAGTTACTTTCCGTAGTTATGAAACAACGCTGTGATGGTGATGAGCTTCCTGGTAACAAATGTGTATTTTTCGCCCCTTCTTCGATCTTCTCAATCATACGGCCACACGTGAAATCATCTAAGTGACGTACTGATATTTTCATGATCTTCAATTAAATCTTCCTTGCAAAACTTTACTTAGTGAAATAACTGCTCGCACGAGAGCTATCAGGTGATGAAAAAGGAAAAAAATGAAAATTTGCATATTCACACCTCTTCTTACTGTATTCCACACATTATGGCACTGTGTGCAAACAAAATTGTATGTTAAAAGAACTATTTGTAAAATTTGACTTTCTAAATAAATGTCTCAAGTCTGCAAGACCAGCCTTTAGCTGTGTGTGGTGGATAGTAAATAGTTCCAAGCAATCGTGGTTTCCTGTCATATCTTGGTCTCCTGTATCCAGCCCATATTCCGATTTTTCTTATTTTGTTCTCTTTTATTTGTGGTTGCTGGCGTGAGTTTTTTATCAGTCTTTAGCAATTGCCTAGCAGTTTACATTTTTATATGAAAGTATGCAAGACATTAACTATGCCTACTGAAAGTTTTTGAAAGCAAATGAGAAGCAAATATGATTTGAAAATAAAACGAAATACGATTTATTTTTGTAGATTTCAAAGAGGTTGTCCTCCGTTCGGAGACCATTTTCCAACACAAAAAAGGAGTTTTGATTTATGAAAAGCACCATTCATCTTTTTGTTCTCATTTGGAATTACATAATGCAGGAAGTTTGGATAATGAGAACAATTCCCGCAGCTTTGATTATTTCTACAAGACATATCTAAGGATAGTAGTGGCAAAGTCAAATTCTTGTATTGGTATAAAAAGTTGGAAATATATATTTCTAACACATTTTAAACTATGAAAATTTAACAAATTAGTTCATTATTTTTTCATTAAATCTGTATTAGGATAAAAGAAATACTTTAAAGCGAATGAATCTCTGAAATTTGCCTTTTCCTAAAAAAATTGGAAACTTAATACATCTTCAGTTTCTTCGATAACAAATAAACAAGTACGCAGTTTTTGGTTGTTTTCATAAGCGTAAAGCAATTATCAAAGAAACGAAATGTCCTGAATGCTACTATAAAACAAAATTAAAAAACTGCTTGAAGTTCAAAATCAATGAGCTTGAATCACAGGCACAACCACATCTTGGGAAGATCCGTATGAATGGACATACGGTTACCATGAATGAGAATCCATGTAACACTTTTTTTTATTTATTCTACGAAACATAATACTTACATATAAATTACAGTCATGACAATCCTATTTCTGTCAAAGGACATACCTCTGTCAAAGGAAATTCATTTCAGGTGGTGAGATAAAAACTGTTTGAGCAAAGTAAAGATAACTGTAAGAGAGGCTACCTAAAACTATTACACACATTATAAATGATGGTGATAGTTTTGAGTGTTTGCTGGCAACATTTTCACAGTCAACATCTGATGGTCGTAAATCTACAATGGCGAGGCTTGTGTTCATGCCAGGAATGGAACAAGTAGCTTTCCTGGATACACTGTTAACATACAGGGCTGCTTCTACACTGAGCATATGAACATGGAATGTTTCTCGCAACCACCGTCTTAACCATCTGCTCAGCCATAAAAGGTCACAACTGCAATTCCATGGGTTGCCTTCCAGTAAGACTCCACCTAAATGGTAAAACAGAAGTAGGCAATATTATAAATTATTACTCTTATTTTTAAGCTATTTCATTAAATAGTAAAAACTGAACCTTTAGTTTTGACTAAATTTAATTTCTCATGGGGTATTAGTCGAAAAACCAATAGGAAATTAACGTCTTTTTCCTTTTTAAATTTCATATGTGCAAGTCTAGATGACACAAAAACTGTTACTGGAACAAAATTATTAACATTTTTACTTAATTGAAAATTATGGTTTAACACATCTACATGTGTGTTAGCATTAATAAAGCTGCTGTCATCAAACTTCTCTAAATAAGGAAATTTATGCTGTAGTTGGTTTAGAGACCAGGTTGGGTTCATTTATATAACTTCATTTTTCTCTCCGTCTTTTTTTAAAAAAAAGAGTTTTAAAAATTAAAAATGGCTGTGGTTATTTTGAATTTCAATAAGCATCCGAGAGATTATTAAATTAAACCCAAATAGTGTGGCAAAAGTACAAGTTGAATAAAATCATGTGCATTATGCTCATTAATATTAAACCTAGCCTTACACTTTCACTTACAAAATTTATTAAATTAAGAGGGATAATTTTATAAAAACAATGTAGATGAAAAGGTTCTGTAAAAAACTCTTACGTTTATGCTCTTAAAAAGAAAAACTTTACGTGCAAAATTTGTACACATATTTGAGAACGAATCTGTTGATTGGAATAAATTTAAGGAAGCATCTGTCACATAAAAGCTATTCTGTTTGGCCACCAATTGTTTCATACTTTCAAAATAATATTCATGTATAAGTTTATAGCTATCTTCTTTATTTTCAATGAAAAAGTTCATTTAGCGTATAAAAATGGAACATTTTTAAAAAATTCATTGAAGAATAGCGAATATTTTATTCATCTGGAATTTCTTTATACTTATACGTAGACTGCTTTTGCGTAGAATCCTTTACACTTCTGCTGGGCCGCAGCGACTGAGCAGTTTAATCGTTGTGTAAGGTATTTTCTCCCTCCTTCCAGCGTGCCTTCGTGGTGTAACAGTAGCACACTCTGCGCATATTCGAGAGCTCCAGGATCGAATCCCGGCAAGGACACTGCACATTTTTCTCTGCCCTTGCTTAAAAAAAGTTCCTAATGATTCTACGGTTGAGCAGTGATAATTAATCCTGGGTTCAAATAAATCCAACCGAATGGGGGTTGGCTGTACGGACGTTTTCGTGGTTTTCCCCATGTTTAACGTAGACATGACCAAATTTCCCTTAAAAAGGTTTTACGCGAAGGCATATCTTCCCTTAGACAGACAGCCTTTGCAGGGTTTGCCTTAATCAGATAAACAAGCTATCTATTTGCACATACCTTCTCTAAAATGCTGCATATTTGGTATCAATATTTATGGAAATATACCGTGCTCACAAAATTAGTTATCCGTTTTTTACTTTTTCAGCCGCTGATCGCAGCCACCTCCTCTCCAATACAAAAATATGACGCAAATATGTTCATGTTTCCGTATTAAAAAAAAAAAAAGAAGTTAAAATTAAAATACTGACCTTTTACTCGTCTTTTCTGTTCTTATACTTATATCAAAGAAAATGTTGTACTGCTTCATATAAGAAATAACATTTGAAGCAAAAATGAAACAAAATAAATTACAAAAATTAAAGCAAAACTTTCCCAAATATAAGTATACGAACCGGAGGAACGTATGAAAAATAAGATTTTGACTTTTAATGCAAATACCTTTCTTTCTTTTCTTTTTTTCAATAGGGTATAAGGCATTTCCTCCTTCCTTTCCGCACGCCTTTGTGGTGTAAGCATACTCGACGCCTATTCGAGAGGTCCAGGGTTCGATTCCCTTGGAGAGCACTGTTCATTTCTCACGTCTCCAGTATCAAAAAGCTTAAAGACTCTACAAGTGGCACCCGAACTAAAAGGTGATAGATGATAATCCGTCACCACCAGGATTTGGCGATTCGATCACTGATCCACAGTCACCCTTTAAAAGGGGAAATAGATAAAGTATTTCCTCCTTCTTTCCCATGCCTTTGTGGTGTAATTATAAGCATATTCCAGAGGTCCAGGGTTCAAGTCTCGGGGAACGCACTGCACATTTTTCACGTCTCCAGTATATATAAAAAATTTTAAATGATGATTCTACAAAGAAAACGTGTACACCTTTGCATTATTTAAAACATTTATGTATTTGGAAATATATGTCTGCGAGCAACGGCTACGAAAATAATGGTAAGTTAAGAACTCTTGCGAATACTGTATACAGCTTCTTTTCGAACAGCATTTATATACTGAAATTGTGTATTCGCAGAAATAAGTGGTGCGTTTGAAAAGCATCGGAACGTTTGAGATCGGAACTTTATGTTTCATTATCTTCTTCTATCAAACTGAAAAAGTATGAATCTTTTAAAAGCTAAGTGATGGTCTTTTAATAATTCTTTTCGACCAAAAACTAAAAACTGCTTTCATTACAGGTATAGCAATTTGGTTGTTGCACACAAAATTACCGTATATTCCGTCGTATAACGCGCACTACAAAATATAAGATCGAAATTTACGGATGCGCGTTATACGTCGGATATAAAAATAATAGATTTAAAAATAGGGAAAGGAAGAGCATACAATAACAAAAATAAATAAATAACATTTGAAGGTTTTCAGATTTTGTATTACGCCCAAAGGGACCTTTTTTAATATTTTGTGTGTTGTCTTTATTTATTAAATAGGATGTTCTTCGCGTTTAAACGATAAAATTCAACTCAACAGCAATATCGCAAAATAACTTTAAAATGAGCGTATCTTTAGAATTTCCGACACACAGTCTCGCGCGCTGGAGATAAATATTTTTTTTTCCGTACAGTATTGCCATGGCTCGCTTTGAAATCGTTGAGTTTCTTAATAAAAAATTCGTTAAAGTGTTACAAAATATGAAATCGATAATAAAACAAATTCCAAATTTGGGCTTCCAGACGCCCATATTCGGAGAATAACGTTATTCAATATTGGATGGCTCTAGGTACCGTTGTTTTATACAACGCGAGAAACATACATGCATTTATGCAGATGCTTCACTATTTAATTTCTTTAAATATTACAGGGCGATAATATGTGGTGGCAACAGTTTGAAAAGTGATGTGGCCATTTACAGTGAATCGACGCAAAATGCCAAAAGGAAATTAATAGCCCTTCTGACCTAACTCTCCTTTGGGCTAAAAATTATATTGCTGCATTTACCTAAATGTTGTTCGTTTAAAAGAACTGACATTCCTTATGAACTTAAATTTCCTTATCTGATAATATGAAAAGTTCAACACATTCATCTTCCGTTATATCTCCGGGCACATCCTCGAATTATGTTTCATCTTCACCACCACTGTTATTCTAATCCATAAATAAATAATCATCTTCCGTTCCATCTAGTTTGTTGATATACTACACTTTTTTACTGATATTATCGAGTTTAATTTCCTTCTATGTTTTTATTATTAATCAGACACTATTTCTAGACTGGCATGACGCATTTTGTCGCCTTTCTCTCCTGTGTTCACTTCAAAATTACGGCTTCAAATAGGACTACAGAAAAAGAAAGCATCCGACGCCTAATTCTGCGAATTCATTCGGGTCGGAAGTGCATTTGTACCTCAAATAATGTCCAGCTTTTCTCTAAACCCTAGAATAACATTCTTGTGCATATCTGCATTGAATACAACGCACCCTCTTTGAAGAATCATTTACTCCCTCAGACATTGCCCCATACACATATTGTTCCCTTTATCGTTTGTTAATTCAGTATACGATTGTTGGAAAGCCTGTGGAAAAACTTCGAATCTATAACCTAAAAAGATAAGAACATCGTTCATATATGTCATGACGTGATGACCACGCATGCGCAGTTCAGCCGAACGGCCTGCAACGCCTCTCTCTCATGAGACTTACTAGAGAAGAGTAGTTAGTATGTAGTAGCGAAGTAACGAAGGAAACGTGTTTTATGTCAGCTTAGATGCAAGATACGAAGATATACTTGTGTGTTAATCGTTTGTACTTATTATTTTTATTTGTGTGTAATAAAGTTTTGTGCCGTTAAAATGGCTGTTTTATGCAACGCACACAATACGATACGTCTACGGTAGGAAGTAAATACATATCCAGAAGCTACACGCCCAAGAAAAAGAAGGATATGACAGTGGTGTCAGAACAGGAGGATATGTCATTCTGCAAAGTTCACGGATAAATGCGTAAGTGAGTCTTCAGAAAGGTAAGAAATTTGTTCAATTTATTTTGTGGTAAAGTGGAATTCAAGGTTACAAAAATGGCTGAAGAGCTAACGAAATCTAAGAAAGAACGGAAAATTATTCGTTCAGCCATTACTAAAGTAACAAATGCTATTGAATCATTAATTGCAGCCGGTAACCTTGAAGGCCTTGAAGAATCACTGGAAAGTTTAAAAGTAAAAGCTATTTCTTTGAGAGCGTTAGACGAAAAAATTAAAACTTTGACTGATGTTAATGACATTGAAACCGAAATCAAAAGTGCCTTGGAATACGAAGAAAAAATTTCGAAATGGAGCTTTAGAGGCACAAAATTATTGAAAGAAAAAAGAAATAGCAATAATTCGCTAGTTTCTAATGGTTCTTCTAATGATAGTAACAATTTATCTATATCTGGTGTCGATAAAAGTTCTGATTATAATGTTAAATTGCCGAAGATTATGATTGATAAATTTTATGGAAATGCTGAAATGTGGCAGACATTTTACAATTCTTTTGATACGGCAATAAATCAAAACGTAAAAACTGTCCTAAAGTAGATAAGTTTAATTACTTGCTTAGCCTGTTAGGCGGTGCAGCTTTAAAAACAATAGAAGGCTTTTCTTTATCTCCAGAAAACTACGACGAAGCTTTTAAAAAATTCTCAAAGAGAGGTATGGTCGAAAAGATCTCCTTATTAATTCTTACATGCATAAACTTTTAAATTTACGGCCTGTCCGAAGTTCTAATGA